TCCCATTCATGAAATCCACCTCTCCCGAAGTTCATTCACGACGGGCCTCGGCCTCCCGCCGCCGCGGCGCGGGGCCAGGCGCGGCCCTGCTCCCGCACGCTGCAGTGCGTGTAGCGCAGCCCCCGGGTGCGCTCCGCTGCGGGCCGGGGAAGGCCTTCCAGCTTCGGCAAGGCTTGGGAAAAAATCTCACCCGTGCATCTGGAGTGAAAACAACGACAGCCCTGGCTGCCCCAGTCAGTGTTACTCTTGTGAATGTTAAGGGTCACGAATATCAAATAAAAATCTGGTCCTGGGATTAGCACACCAAAAGAGCGGGTTTGCGTGCTGCCGTGCATACCAGGTGCTGCCTCCTGTGCCATGCGCGGGCATCCTCCGCTTTTTTCACATTTCTCCTTTCAAGTTCCGTGATCATCTTTAGCAGCTATTGATCCTATTTATCGACCCTATTTCTCCTGCAAAAAATATCGGTAACAGTTGGGATGCGGTGATAACAGGACAATCATTCATGGCATGTCGTCTCCTCAAGAGAAAAAGAAGGAAAGGGGAAAGTTACTGCTAAGGCTAAAGGGAAACTGTACGTTTTGGACGTGTCTTCTCTCTAGCTACCCCGGCAGTGGGACCTGCTGACGCTCCTGCTATGAAAGGGGTGCCTGTTATGCAGAATAACAAGTTTAAGCACCTAGTCAATATATATTTTGATCTTTCTGCCAGCAGGCTACAGTTCCAGTGTTCCCAGGACCCCACTCTGTCGGGAAACCTGACTGAAACGCGGCTCCGACCTGGCTGTGGGAGCAGAACAGCGCGCTGTTGTCAGGGAGTTCACATCCAGCAGCTGCTCCTGCATCCCCAACCACGGCAGACGTGGTTAAACGCAGCGCCGGAACCGGAGCTTACTCTGGTTCGAGAAGGTCACTGAAGCGTATGAGTTAACCCTCAATTTTCAGTTTTACTGTGAATTTGTTTCTGCTCCACGTATTTTGTAGCAATCTATTCAGGCTGTTCCTTTTCATCTAGTTTTATCAGAGACCTGGAAGAGACTATTTCTCCTGGTTAGATTGTTGTTAGGCAGTTTATACTTTAAATGTCTTAAAGTCTAGGAGTCAACAGATGCTCGTGCTTTGCACTTTCACCCATGCAGACCCAAGCGAAATGGCCGCTTGACTCTCCGTCCTCCATTTCCTGGTTAAGAGCTAATGGAACCTTTGTTACTTTAGGGGTGATTTCAACATACGGCTGTGCTCCGAACTCTAAACCAGATGGGATTTTCTGCTGTAATGTCGGTTTGCTTTATGATGTTCTAATTTCCCACCACGCTGGCAGTAAGGGAACTGCCGATGGAGGAGGAGCATGGGCCCAGCACAGTTGTCTTTTCACTTCCCTGTCACTGGGAAGAGCGACTGGAGACTCTCTAGGGCACGGGGCTGGGGAGAGGGAGCTGGGGGTGCTCAGCCTGGAGAGGAGGAGGCTGAGGGGAGCCCTCATCGCTCTCTGCAACTGCCTGGAAGGAGGCTGGAGCCGGGGGGGTCGGTCTCTTCTCCCCAGGAACAAGCGATGGGACGAGAGGGAACGGCCTCAAGCTGCGCCAGGGCAGGTTTGGGTTGGACATTAGGGAAGACTTCCTCCCCAAAGGGCTGTCAGGCCCTGGCCCAGGCTGCCCAGAGCAGGGGCTGAGTCCCCGTCCCTGGGGGTATTTAAAAGCCGGGGAGATGTGGTGCTGAGGGACGTGGTTTAGTGGTGGCCTTGGCCGTGCTGGGTTAACGGTTGGACTCGATGATCTTAAGGGTCTTTTCCAACCTAAACGATTCTGTGATTCTATGATTCCTTGTCAGAGCGGTCACTACAGTTCACGAGTGTGTATCTGTGCATGGAAGAGCAGAAGGGCAAGGGCAGACAGGAGCTGCAGCGGCTGCCTGCCTGCGCTTGACAAAGTCACCCGGGTACCAACCAGGCAGTGATGCTCTTTTCTTGCTGTGACGGAGATGTGTTGCCAGTTCTATCAATGACTTTTTCTATTTATTTGAATTAAAGTAAGATCAACTCATCCCCGTTTGTACCGGGACCGTTCTGTAATGTGAATGTATATGCATGTTTACATATGTATGTGTATTTATGTCTGTGCGTACCTACGTAGGATACCTGAGATTTTCCTGACGCCCATAACAGTACTCTACAGCAGACAAACTACATGAAAGGGTTTTTTCAAGGGCTGCACAGAGGCAGGATCCCAGACAAACCTTGCGGCCTTTTTATTGCTTTTGACCTTTGAAAAATGTCATACAGCCTAATTAGAATAACAGTATTAATTAGGGCTAGACATACTGGCCACCGAAGGGAAAATCACTGAAAACTTGGGGCTTTCGGAGCAAGCCATGTTATTATAACTTTTATGTTATTGTAGCTCTTTTTCCCCTTCAAACCCAAACTCCTACAGCAGATTCAGGTTTTAGCATCTTTTGTTTGTCAAAGCAATTTACTAGCAGTAAAAAGCTGGAAAGCTTGAATCCCAATGCTAAGAATGTTAGAAAGCAAACGGACACGAGGAACTTAATTGTTAAATTTATCATTTAAAGTACCTCATAAATTTCAAGAGATTTGGGGAAAGGATTTTTTAGTTTCAATTAGCTGGGTTTGACATTAATATAAACTGATATATTGTTCCTTTTGTCTCTAGGAAACATTCTGAATCCGCTGAGTAGGATTCAATAGCCTACTTCTGGGTTCCGCTATCCAGGCAGTAATTAATGATAAAGAGAAAAGAAGCATAAAATTCACAAAAACAGAAAAAGTTTTCCTCCAATGGCCTCGGCAACTTAGTCCAATTATTTGACACATTTCACTTCTATTACGAGCTCTTAAAGCACATCGTACGGTGCCTTAAAAGCAAAGAAACGATTAAGCAACAGTAGGAGAGGTGCAGCCATAGACGGGGCAGTCAGGAACGTGGCACAGCTGATCTTGGTGATGAGTGAGGCATCCCCAGGTGAAATTAATGCTGCTGAGCCGCAGCAAGGCCGGTCTCTGATTTATCCCTTGATGAGGAGAATGCCTCGGGGGATAAATCAGGCTTTAAATCAGTTTGCCTGTCCACCACCTCTTTTGGTGTCCTGTGCTCTCCTTGGTGGTCTGTATGAATCCTTCCTTCTGTTTTCTTAAAACTGAAATAGTAAAAATACTGTTGGTTAATAACATGGAGGACACAGAGTTTATAAAAGGGGCGTGAGAGAAGGCTTGGGCTCCTGGGAAAGCTGCTGACTTCATATCAGGAAACATTCAGGATGGGCAAAAGGTTAGTAGAAGTTACAACTAACAAATTACAGAGCTCGCTTGCTTGCTGGGTTCTCCTCTGTTCCTCATGTGCTTGTTGTACAAATATGTCACGTTTGTTTTCAAAGGCTGCCTAGTCAGATGTGGGAATGTGATTCTGGAGTTTCTCTTTGCAGGCTCAGCAATTAACATTCAGGGTGATTAATTACCTTCTGTTATTTTTTTCTTGAAGTGTAGAGTGTGTGAAGAGTTCAGAAGCAATATATAAACTAGAGGGGAACTGATTCTTGCTTACGAAGTATTAGCAATAGATTTATTCCAGCGTTGTAATCCACGCTGCCTGAGCTGTTTTTTCCCTGGGCTCATAACTTATTTTTCTTAGTTACCAATTGAGTCTAATTCCCCTCCCCCTCCTGCGTCCACCCCTGTGATTTAACTATTTCCATCCATTGCACTGGCCTGAGCAAACCCAGTCCTGAGTTTCAGATGCGTCCCCTACCGTCCGCGCCGGCTATGGTAAAGCTCCCAGTGACAGATCCTGACACAAACGGGAGCAAACAGCAAATGTCTTAGTGACAATCTGAAAGCTGAAAAAACTCCTCTGTACTGTAGAATGGAGCATGAACAGACCTGCAGTTTTATGAAAATAATAATAAAGAAACAGCTGGATGAAGAGCTCAGGTTTCTTAACATCAAGCATGAAATCAGCCCAGCTACTCTTCAATACCCTGTTGTTCCCTGGACAGGAATATTGTAAGTAAGGTGCTGACTCTCGTCATTGCCTATTGATACCAGCTGTCTTTGCCTGGTGAGGCGATGCAATACCGGGGAGAGCACAGAAATCCTGGCACTGGAAGCCCCTGCGGAACAGCCGAGTGCAGCTCCAACCCAACCTCGCTAGCGACAGCGCGCAAAGAAGAGGCGAGGCAGAAGGCGCGTGTTCCCTGAGCTGGGTTCCTGCGCTGGAGAGAAGCAAAACGCAAGAGCCTGCGAACTGAAGGAAGCCTCGTTTAAAGGATGTTCCTAGAGGGAATGTCTCTGCTTATGCTTTAATCGCCTGTCCAGCATAGGGGCACTGCACGTGCGGATTCTCTTGCTGGTTGTTTCGCTAAGGGAAAATACCTTGTCTGTGTTTCTAGCTACTTCTCTCCTGTAGCACGATAGCGGCCTGCACTTTGACGTGAAAGGTCTGAGGGTCAGGCCCTTGCGGGTTTGTCAGTCACAGTGGTGGTGCGTTCTCCTGTCGCTGCAGCGGCCTCTTGTTAACGCTGCTCGGGCTGTGGAAGCTTGGGCCTGCGCAGCCGATGGCTCTGCGGGCAGAGACGTTTGCCTCTGGAGCACGTGCGATCTTCCCCCCAGCCTGATGGAGCGTGACTCAGGCCAGAATCCCAATGAGGATTTTCCAAACCAACGTATTCAGCAAGGGACTGGTAAAAGAGTGTTGTGGAGCTTAGCAGCTAAGCATCTGGCTGCAGCGGGGTGCCGTACAGAAACGGGAAATGGGAGTTTTCACTTGGTAACATGCAGAGTACTCGGCAGCCCACTTCCTAATGTGTCCGTCGCTTAGCGTTTTCGGGTATCATAGCTGTTCTTGATGATCTGGTTTAGTAATGTGAATGACTTTATGTCCTTGAACTACCTTTTTTTTTTTTTGCAGATTAGGATGAAAAAGTGTTAATTCTCTAACTATTGCAGTTAGTCTCCCTCCATCAACACAACTGAATTTCAGCAATGCTATTGGATAATTGCTTATAAAGTCACGTCCAGAAATCAGGAATGTTGTCAGTTGTCTAAGTCGCAAACTGCTCTTTGTCCTTTTATTTTGCAAACTGTGACATTAAAATTACCTAGAATGAGTAAAAGAAGCAACGTCACCCAACTTCCAAGAAGGATGTTAGGCAGGGCCCTGTCCTAACTCATTTTGAGACAAAAAGCGAAGCAAAGAGAGGCTGCGCCCAAGGAAGCCCCAGGTCAGATCTGGCGTAGTCAGCCCCCGCTCCTAGGAACAGGGCGGATGGAGCTGGCACAAGACTGGGGAAGTCGAAATTGCAGACGCAGGCCGCTGAGCGAGGGCTGCAGTGCGCGGTGCGGCCTCCTGCTGCCTGAATGTGCCAATCGCAAAGACTGCTTTTGTTCACCCTCCCTCTGCAACCTGCAAGAGGATCTATGGTAGCGTAAGTTATTTGCTTATAATTTGAATGTCATGCTTTAATTTCAAGATGTTGTATAGGGGCGATATGGCAGGAGATTTCCACTAGCCCATAGAAGTTCGCTTATGAGACTTGACGCGCTCGTCATCGCTAGGTGCCTTTCTGTAGGGAAGGTGGTCACTGCGCAAGGAAGGCTCTGGGTGGGTTTCTTGCACCTTTGTGGCTGTCTGAGACACAGTGCAGGCTCTGGAGAAAGCCGTTTTTCTAGGAGGCCTTGTGAATAAAATGCCCCTTTTAGGTATTCCTGCCAGCTGCTTTTTATGATGCTCTGAATGAGAGAAGACAGTTCAGGCACTTTGTCTGCAGGAAGGAAGCAATTAAATTATTAGCACTTTGAGAAATTAAATGATGTAAGTTATGGCAGAATAAGTTTAGCAAAATGTTGTAATGTAAGAAAACAATTAAAAAGAGTTATATAAGGTTGGGTGGCTGCTTTATTGTGATAGAGTGAGCAGTTAATTGATTGTCATATTGCTATAATGTACCAGGGCAGTTGTGAGAGCAAGAAGAGAAATCCCTGCTCAGGATGTATGGAGATGAAGTGCGGAGAAAGGGATGTGCCTTCTAGGGAACCGGGAGTGAGCGGCAGCCTGCTGCCCTCCATTCCTTCTCCCTGTGTCCTCTGAAGAGATGAAGTGCAGAGAAATTCCCTGTCATTCTCTTCAGCTTCCAAGGCCTGATGCTGCAAGATTACATTTAGCTCTCCTCCTGACAGCGACTTGGAAAGCAGAAGCGCTTCCGAGTTGGACCCCAAAAGTGGGAGAAGCAGAGAGGTTGCTCTGCCAGCACTGGGAACGGAGCCATGCAGCTTTGTAGTAGCCCTGCACCGGCCTCCCGTTCCTTTCTGAGGGTGCTGGTGAATCTGCAAGCGCTCCTGGGCTGTTAGTCAGACGTGTTGTGAAAGAAGCTGGCAGAAAATGACATCCTTTCCCATAAGCCCGTGGCACTTTGTTTAGCACAAAGAGAAGTGTGTAGTTTCTGGCCAGGAAAGCAGCTGTGTTAGAGGAAAGGAAATGAAGCTAGAAGTAGCAAGTTGCAAATCACTTGTATTGTTGCTCTGAAGAATCAGTTGCTTAATCTTTGAAGATAACTTGCTGGTACTCATAGATTTTACACCATGCACAGGCAGTACCACCTTTTCTGCTTCATTTTTGAGTGTTGCTTGTACCTTTGCCGTGAGTGCTTGGGCCCTGCCCTGTACCTTCATGAAGCTCAGAAACGAACCCCAAAACCTAAACTGTGTCAGGTCGTGGATGGCATCCCCAGGGCAGGTCAGGAGCACGCGTGCACGCAGGCAGCTCGCCAGGCTGTCTCTGGGCTGGGAGGAGTCCTGCTTGCAGCCCCGCCGCTGGCACGGGGTCTGCTGAGCGCGCTCAGCTTCTGTGCCTCAGTTTCCCCTCTGCAGAGGGGTGAGGTATTTGTACACTTAAGGGCCACTGGAGATGCATCATTAAGCAGTGCCTGCAGAGTACTGAAGTTAACCAGAAAGGGAAAAGAAATGGGTTAAATTCTGTTGCCATGAAGGTTATAAAAATTATAATCGTAGTAATCACTTTCTTATGATACAGTCTGTCACCTTCATTGCTCTAATTGGAGAAATCATAGCAGCTTCTCCCTAAACGTGTACGTTGTACCACTTAAAGGCACTGACAGGCATATGCTGGTGAAAGAGATGCATAGGCCATCGCTCTGCAAAGTGTTATGGGTCTGGGGAAAAGGCTGGAAGCGTCACACAGCTTGAGCAGCGTGGAGACTGATCCGAGAAAAGCTCGGAGGAGCCTAGAGGACGGAGCCTGCATTGTTCAGGAGTCAGAAGGGAGCTGCACCTTTTTTGTAAGGCACTTGAAGAAATGCCTGCCTTGATTACCGGTTTGGGCTTCCGACAGACGTGACCTTAAGACTCCCAACCTTTCTTTCATATAGGATAAGGCAACAGAATGGAGCATTAAAAGTCAAGAGTACGAGAGGAGGGCCCCTCAATGTAGTCAGGTCTGCAAGCTCTGCTCTCCTTCCATTTCTTTGCTCTACTCCTCAGTTTTCACTATTTAAAAGAAAAAAAAAAATCTGCCCTAAACCACTCTGTTCAGTTTTGTCTTGAAAGAGGTGATCTCCCGGCTTCATCTGCTCTTGTGGTGCTGGCTGGCGTGCAGCTCTTCGGTTGGGATCTGTCTGACTGCAGGGATGACCGGGGCAAACGGACAGCGCTGCAACAAGGTGCCGCATGCAACAAGCAGGGGTTTTTGTCGGCAACACTTGGCCGTGTGGCTGCCTTGCTGTGCTGAGATGAAAAAGGATGAAAGCGACCAAGGTAGTAAGGAGGTAAAGACGGCGCTAGTAATTACCCAGCGCTCAGTCAAGGCAGGAGAGAGGAACCCAGACTTCACTCATAGATGTGCAGAGCCAGGGTACCAAAGCAAGACACACAGCTGTTGGCAGGTACTAGCAACTTATCCCATTATGGTCGAAGTAACCACCAATAAAACCTAATCAATGGAATCCCTTTTAAGTTGGTTGGATCAGTGACCCAGAAAATAGCTCCCCTGCAGAAAAGGAAATGATAGTCTATAAAGTGAGAAGTCAATGGGAAAAATCTATTAAAGCGAGTGAGCTGTAAGGAGACCTTCGGTGTTAACTGAAACCTTTTGGAAAGAAGCCACGGAACTCATGGCAGTCTTTTAACCCTCCAAGTGCTGTGGTGGCAGCACAGGGCCGGCCGTGGCCCCGCAGGCAGCCCGGCTCCCGCCCCGCTGGCGCGCACGCCGGCGAGGAGATGCCTGCCAGCTGGGGAGGGATGCAGCAGCAGTACCAGGGCAATCAGTCCGGCTTTCGGACTCAGCTGGGAAGCTCACGACAGGGAATTGCGGAGTACCCAGTGGTGTGGTGGTGATCATGGTGGTCACTGGTCTAGTGACAGGCTCATCTTGCAGGACTTTAAACTAATTTCTCCCCCTGCCAAACAGCCAATGCACAGCTTACCTAGAATTAGCACTCAGCTTTTTTGTACTAACAAAGTCGGCCAGAAGCCTCATAATCAGCACGGCATCTTGAGCCTGGGACAGGACAGAAGATCAGTCTGGTGGACCCAAGAGTGCGCTATGAAGGAAAGGGTTTTCTGGCACCCAAATTCAAAATAACCCACCCAACAAAAGAAGCTGGAAATAAAAATATTCCATTTCTCATAGGAGCCTTCTTTTGGTCCCAAAAGCAGCTTTCAGTTGTCTAGCTTTAGACAGCATTGATTGATTGTTAAGACTAGGAGACGAAAAGCAGAGTCTCTGCCTTGCTACTGCCTCATCTCGGGAAACTGCACTCTCGTGTCAGAAACTAAACAGGGACCCACAGACATGGGAACATAATTAAATCACAACAGAACTGGGAAAAGCATCTTGAAAGAAGTTATTAACACAGACCACCTAAAAATCTAATCATTCAGATTATGCTATGCATTAAATTCCAGCTAAGCTTAATTTGGCTCAATTAACTTGTAAAATATTTTTACAAAGTGCTAGATCATCTGCCATCCCCATTCATTACAAAAATGAAGAGAAATTCAGTGATGCAAAATAAGTCGGATATCCAGGAAAATTAGTTATCCAGAGCTAGATCAATCAATACAGACTTTATTCTTGCACATGAATCACAGCAAAGAAGCTCAGAGCATCCATGTGGAAGCAGAAGTATCAGTCAAATCTGTTTCCACATTTTATAAGTATTGGAAGGAACACAGCAAATCTGCCCCGGGACACTTTGCCCCTTTTGCGTTGCTCTTTGCTTGCTGCCTCTGGCTTTTTTATTACATGTAAGCAGAAAAGGGGGGGGTGCGGCGTAGAGAAAGCTTGTAAACACCAGGAGACTGGGTGAAAAACGTGTAACCCCTGCTTACCCTTTTTAAAAGCTGTAAGAAAAATCCATAGAATTACAATTTGAGAAAACTTATTTTCTAAAGGAGCTGCCTTGGGACTGGGAGGTCATAGAGCTGCAGGGGCTGAGATTTTTCTTCCTGTAGTAACCATTATGTTAAAACTCCAGATTCTGAAAGTCTGAAGAAAGGACCCTACTTTACCAGATTTTTACCTTGTTTTCTTTATAAACTGTTTAGTCCCAGTGTTTGGCCAAGTGGGCTGGCCAGAGAGAAGCCCGTGCTTAGTGAGGGGAAGAAGTGAGTCACCCGTCTACAGCACAACACATTTTCTGAATGAAGCCCCTGATGGGGCAGGGTTCATGCTGCTTCGCCAGACAGACTGGCATAGGGCATACTGAAAACCTAGAGGTATAAACATATAATACGTATTTTAATATTAATCTTAAATTTGCTATTTAAAAGCCATCTTAAGTCAGCATAAATGTGCCTCACAGGATGTGAATCCTGAAAAACAGGGCTCCGTACTGTCCCCGCTCGGTGTCAGAGGCCTTCATGGAAGGGGCACTGCTTTGGGCCTTACGGGGAAGATGCACGCTTTAGAGCAGGAAATAAAAAAATCCCCACCCAGATCCCTGGACCCCAGAAGTTTTGCAGCCTGGGAGCAAGCCCTTGCTCCTCTGACACAAGTCAGACAGGAGCGGGGAGTAGCTGACCCAGGCTCTTTTCAGTGTCTGCATGGTAAGAAACACTTCCCACCTTGGGTGCAGCACGGGGTGTAGCAGTCAAGAAGCTGCTTGATCTGTTGGGAGGGACAGAAAGGAGTTGTTCGGACCATGGCTCAGCCCTGTTTTGCACTCCTTTTGTCGTCTGTAGTCACCCCAACTCATCTTCCCCTCCTTCCAGCGAAGGAACTTTGTGCACTTTTGGTGAAGGTGTCCCTTTCCGCAAGCCCTATGCATCGCAGAACCTCCTGAGCAAAGACAACCCCCTGCGGCTCCTCCTGTTTACTCCAGCAAAGAATGAAGTGATTAATGAGGCCAGAACATATCTTTTCTCCCCGGGATCCACAAGAGAGGCACAGCTGAATAAATACCCCATATTTTTGTGGTCTGCTTGGTTGGGAGTTAAACTGCAGGTGGCAAAGAGCGCTGCCAAATGCTGTTATTGCCACACTCTGCATCCACTGACAATCTCGCAGATGAGAGCGAGTCAGATTTATAAGGACAAAGTTGCATTCCTGGCTTTCCCTGTGCTGGAACTGGAGCGCTCTGGGCTTCCGCTGGGGGCAGGGGGTGGCTCGGTCTCAGGTCCTTCTGCTCTTTCAGCATGCGCCTTCAGATGAAGTCTCTGAGATAGAGCAGAGATGAGTGTGTAAGCTGTTTTTTGCACTGTCAGTCATCTCTGCCCTTATACAGCATTTTGCACCCCTCCATAGTAATAATTCATTTTCCGAAGAAGCTTTGTGTGTTTTGGTCTCGTGTCCCTGTGGAATAGTAGGCACAGACCCTCTCACGGCACAGGGAGGTAAAGGATTAATGCTCTCCGCTTAGCCAGCAGCTGCAGGTATGTGTAAGCCAGGTTGGGTTCAATAAGAAGCACGGGATCCTATGGAGAGTTCTGATAACCACTGCTCCTGGGCTTGCAACAATTTTTCTTTCTTTCCTTCCCTTCCTCTGCCTATTTTGATAGACATTAGCAGAATGGAGCTGATTTTTCTGCTTTAAGAAAAGATTAGTATCTTTGGACGAATTTTTCCTGTGAAAAGGCTTCTGTGCTGATGGAATCTTTCTATTTCATAGCCAGAGAAGTGGTAGCATAGAAAAAGGTGGGCGTGCTGGAATGAGTTTACTTCATTCTCGTTTTTTTTCTGGAATAATGAGAGTTGCGAACCCATGAGTTCAGCTGCGTTGCTTACTTTCAGGCAGCCTAGCCTTCTGAGTGGGCTGCATTTTCCTGTCTTCTCTTCTCTTTGGTGCTGTTCTTGTCCAGTTCAAGGTGTTCCTCTGTACTTTGTAGCTATAGAATAACTGTGAATTTGTCTTCCTAAATGGAATATTAAACTCTTTGAGCTGAGGCTAACATTATTTAACACAAAGCTATTAAACCTATGAAAGATGCTGTTCTGTATCTCTGTCAATGTGGTGGCTAAAGCAACATGAATGCTCAGTTGCATATTCTACAGGTTTTTTTTTACTTCTCTTTTTAAACAAAACACCAAAAAGCCCAAGGCAGTAGTGCAAGACCTGCACTATGACATCTTATTCCT